TTTGAAAGAGAGTTTTGCAGGATACATCAGTCTAGGTTGGAGGTTCTTTACTTTTAGGACTTGGAATACCTCACTCCAGGCTCTCCTTGAACTAAGGGTTTGTGTTGAAAAGTCTGCTGTGATTCTAATGGGCTTTCCTTTGCATGTGATTTGTTTCTTTTCTCTTAATGCTTGTAGTATTTTGTTTTTCTGTTGGATTTCTGGAATCTTGATTATTATATGTCTAGGTGCAGAATTATTTTGATCGTGGCTAGTTGGAGTTCTGTATGCCTCACTTATCTGTATGTGTAATTCTTCCCTTCTGTTTGGGAAGTTTTCTGTCATTAATTCTGTGAAGAGCTTTTTTATGTCATTTGCGTTTTCTCCTGTTTTTTCATTAATTTCTATCAGTCTTATGTTATTTTTCTTTGTACCTTCTAGGAGTTGTTGGATTGATTTCTCATGATCCCTTACTGTTATTAAAAGACCTCTTTTTTCACGGTCACTGACTGCGATCCTATCTTCTATATCTGAAATTCTATCTTCGCAATCTTTTATTCTGTTGTGTACACTTTCAATAGAGTTTTAATCTCCTGGATATCTGTTTGAATCTGTTTTATGGATTCCATTTCTTTCCTCTGTTGGGCATTCATTGTTTCCTTTTCTTTCTTATAATGAGTCTTCATGGCTTCTATCATAGTCTTGAGCTCATCTATTTTATTGTCAGTTCCTGCTCTAGAGTCTCGAATCATGACTTCCATTTTGCTCATCATCTCTCTGGTTAACTGGGAAATTATTTCTGATTTGAATTTTTCTAGAGCCTGATTGATCTGTTTTGTTACCTCCTGTGCTATGGATTCAGGGAGTCCTATTGGTTCACTATCAGACTTTTCATCCTCATTTGTCCTACTCTTTGCCATTGGTGAACTGGAAATCTGTTTTTGAGTCTTGCTTAAGTGTTTTCTCATTTTTATTTTTTATTGTTGGGTTGTCCTTCTTTAATTTCTGGGTATTACTTAAATCTTCCTAATATAGTTGTGTTTTAGCTTTTGAGTTTCTAATGACTCATAGACATCCTCATTTTCATAATATCAGAGAAAACAACTCTTTAAATCAATCACAACCCTTTATCCCAGTTGATACATTCAGCAGCCCAATAGGATCAGGCACAGCTTGCAAACTGACCACTTGTGGTAGTCATTAATGTATCACCTTTAACTCATGTGAATTAAATTAATTTCAAGAAGCAGCCCATAGTATGTTTTCAGTGAATATGCTTTTCAATATAGCATCTTTCCCATTTAGGATGGGCGGTTAGACTTAGAACTAGAGGATAAGTGAAAGAATTAGAGCAGGTTTGAAGTGAATATAGAGGTTGTAGAATTACCTTACTATCTTTACAAAGCTATTAACTTCAGGGGGGATAGAGAGAGTGCAGGAATAAGGACAAGAATATATCCCCTTAACAATAACAGGTGCTTGCCTTCCCTTGAAGGTACAGAGCCATGAGTGAACTAAAATGACTGGAGAAAAGAACATAAAGAGAAACCCCTCCTAAAAACAAAAAATAATAAAAGAAGAAGTCTGAGTTAGGGCAGGAGCTGGAATAAAAAGGGAGATGAGAGACAATATGGTGGAGCAAGAGACTGAGTTGGAGAGAAAGGACAGAAAAAAGAAAGACATTTTAGGGTGAAATGAGGAAAAGAAAAAAGAGAGAGAGAAAAAAAAGAATTTGAAGGTCCTCTTTCTGACTGTCTCTGTTATCATATTATACCACATGTACAGCCATATGCAGAACCGAATCCCCTGGTCTCAGCTAGCCAATGGCAGTTCCCCATGACTGAGACTGAACACAGTCTACAAGGCCTAACTTGAATTTCCCTTCCCTCAGGGTTGAACTCCACTCAGTTCTATTACAGGTTTCCCCTGCCCTTTCTTTAAAGATGTTCAAAGTTGGGAGCTCAGAAAACTACCCTTTATGAGAACCTATGCCTCTGCAGAGTTGGTCTAAGGACTGGCCCAATCAGGAGGTTTGAGAAGGGGGAGGTTTGGGGGTGTTTCAAGGGCGCATGCGCTGCTAACTTCCTTACTGGGTCTGAATGAGAACCTGCCTCTGCAGAGTTGGTCTAAGGACTGGCCCAATCAGGAGGTTTGAGAAGGGGGAGGTTTGGGGGTGTTTCAAGGGCGCATGCGCTGCTAACTTCCTTACTGGGTCTGTTGTCGCGCAGTCCAGGAGGTCGCACACCCACCGGATGATCTCATGCAGGCAGGTAGCTGAAGAGACCCCCTCCAGGGTCTTTGGGTCCTTGCTGGGTCTGTTGTTGTGCATTCTGGGCGGTTGCGCATCTGCTGGGTGATCTGAGGCAGGCAGGCAGTTGAAGAGACCCCCTCCGGGGTCTTTGGGTCTTTGCTGGGTCTGTTCATGACACTTTTTATTGATACTAAAAATTATGGTTCTTCCCCCTCATCTTATTTGCATTTTCTTAGTTTCTATAATACATGATAGGGCTGGGGATTTAGCTCAGTGGTTCCACTGCATGCCTCATATAATACATGGTAGCATTGAGACATATTTTATTCTACTTCCAAAAGCAACCTTCCATTGATGGAGGGACCATGTGGAATCAATGTCTATGTTTTCACTATTTGAGGTTGAAAACTATGCAAATTAATTTTATTTAACATAGGGAGTACCTACTTTGAAAGCCAAATGCCTCTAAATCTTCCTTTACCAACAATCTTTTTGCATCTAGAAGCTAAAGTAATTGAAGGCTTCTCAAAACTCCTTTATATTTGACTCATTAGCATGCATTTCAATTTTTCAAATTCAGCTGTATTCAATTAATACATTTTAAGTCTTCTAAATGCTTGACATTGAACCATTGTTGTGTGAGGGAGTGGCATGAATGAACCGCAGCAGAGAAGAACAGAACCTTATTTGATTACTTATCAAAAATTGAGCATCTCCATGCTCAGCTGAAATCATTTAAAATTGTGCTTTTTGTCCTAATAATATACAGCTGGAGCTTTAGCCAGTCATGAACTTGAGAGAAGTCTTTCTTAAAGGGCTTGGATTTCAACATTTAGTTAACATTTTGTCTACTTTTGCATCTCCTTTATACTTTTATTTAATTTTTTTCATATTCTAAGCCATCTGTTCCTCTAGAAGAAGCCAAGAGGCTAAAAAAGATTCTCTTGCTAAATGACACTCTCCAAATGGCATGACATTACAGGATTGCACAGCTACTATATACATTGGAAAACTGAAATATGAAAACAATGAAATAAACAAAACACAGGCTTGAGAACTAATATTAGAAAAATGTTCATTAAATTACTAAAAGTGAAGTACAGATCTGTGCTTATATAACAGGAATAACTTTGTCTTTCATTAACTGGCAGTGTGGTTCCTCCACCACTGTAGACTGTGATTGCACTTCCCAGTCAATAATCTCTTTTACATAAAATGAAAGGAATAACCAGCCACATCTTGGAAATTAATAAGGGATTTTGCCAAATTTTAAGTCATAAAAAAATGATTCTGTTAATGTGAAAGATAGCATGAAGGCAGTGCTTCTTGTTTGTACATATAGATTTAAGACAAACTTTTAAATTTTAACAATTAGAAACTGGTATAACTCAGAACTGGGCCTAGGCCAACATTTGGCTCAGAATAAAGATTCTTGTCTGCCACACAGTAGCTTTTATAGGGTAATATTCTTCCAGCAGAAAAGATGGCATGTCACAGCTCAACTTTCTGTGCCTCTGGCTCATAGAGTACTTTTCTTTTTCTTTCCTTCTTTCCTTCCTTCCTTCCTTGGTTCCTCCCTCCCTCCCTCCCTCCCTTTCTTCATGTCATTCTGTGTGTGTGTGTGTGTGTGTGTGTGTGTGTGTGTGTGTGTGTGTGTTGTAATGCCCTATTCTGGAAAGGAATCATTCAATAACCTCTGATTGCCTATTTGTATGCAGAGAACATCAAAAAGTTTTACAGGTCTAGCTCTGATCACTCTGGGTTCATATTTTTCCTGATATCAGATCAGTGATACTAATTTCCAAATGACTTAAAATTCACATCTATGGTTTTGTGTTTAGTATGTTTCAGCTACATATATATTGGTTGTATTTGCATTTTCTTGGTTGGAAATCCAGTTATCTTAAAAATCATAAAATATTGATTCTGGTTTAAAAATGTAAATGTTTTTCTTCCAAATTCTATTGCAGCTTTCCAAGAAATTCAGTGGTTTCTTATCAAATCAACATATGACATATTTGCCAATAGCTTATCAAATTAATTCACTTTATATAATATCCAATATAAATAAACACTTTCTCCCACTAATGGCTTGATCAAGATGCACTCAGTATCAATATATTCATGTATGGACATGTGGTAATTGAAGATTTTTACCTCCAAGGACTTGGTCATTAGTGTGAAAAAGTAATTTAAAATGTATAAAATTTTCATTTAAAATTTTATTTATTGCATCTTCCCAAAATACCCATCATATTTTTATAAAAATGTTAATATTTACTCAATAACTTTCTTTTTTTTATTCTTTTATTTTTTTAGCTTTAATTGAGTTTATTGGTACATTTTAGGGATATAGTACAGTTACATTCATTGTTGGGATCATGCAACTCAATAACTTTCTAAAAAGCAAAATATATATTATTATTTGAATAACACCATGCGAGTTCAAGTGAATGTAAAGGCAATAATGAGTTAATATAACCTTTAAAGTACTGTAATATTTAGTACTACTAAAATTTTAGTGTGTTTCTAGAACTACAGTACTTAAATATATTATATAGTGGACACTCAAGTTAAGACTGGCCTGACATTCAAGTAATTTGTGTTAATAAGGTTAATGGAAGATTCATCTGCCTGTTATTATCTATAGCATGTACACAGGTAAACATCCAGAACTCACCTTTATTGACTTACAACCAACTTGAATTATATTCAGCTTTTGGGAACTGATTGAGTTCATAAGTCAAAGATACACTGTATTTTTATAATTATGTATTTGTATCATTATAAAATTAATAGCTATAGAGTATAATAAATACAGATAAAATTTGGTTGAAACATATTTTTTTCAATTAGCAATAATCACTCCTCGGATAAACCTCATTGGCTACTATACTGCCACTGCGCAAAGCTTGAAACATATTTTTTTAAGTTTACTTTGCTTTGGTAAGGTAACCTTGAAGATTGTAAAAGTGTCATACTTATTTTGAGAGGTTTTTTTTGTCAATCGTATAGTTTTGTGTACACAGTGTGAGTCACTTTGTTCTTCAAATATAGTTTTGTAGATTCAGCTCTCTGTCTAATAGATGATTTGCTTGAACACAGAAGATCATAGACTTAAATCCCATGTTTTCAAAAAGTAACCAATAAACTTGATACTTGCATTGGTGTGGGTAATTTTTTTCTCATCACTTCCCTACCAATAACAGTTCATCCTTTTTATATTTTGCTGGCCCCCCTTTTTTTGAATAAATTTGCACTTATGCTATACACTATACTTAAATTTAGAAAATAATTCTTAATTATCATCTTTAGAAAGTCAGATGTTAAAACTAGTAATGGTCTGTCTGGGCGTGGTGTTGCATGCCTGTAATCCCAGCACTCAGGAGGCTGAGGCAGGAGGACCACTGTGAGTTCAAGACCGGCCTGGACTACATAGTGAGTTCCAGGTCTGTTTCAACTATATACCGAGACTGTGTCTCAAAAGAACAAAGCAAAACAAAACAAAAACAAAAAACAAAAAAAAACAAAACTAGTAACGATTAAATATCATCTGAAAATATACTGAAACTGTAAAATACAATTTGTAGATGGTTCCACTATATGGTATTTTAATTACCAAAGAAAATAAATTTTGGCATAGAGGAACCATTTAAATTATCTTAGAATGCATTTAAATTTATCTATACAAAATAATAGAAGAAAATTCAATGTGAGTGTAAGTTTTACTTTGAGAACTCAGTAAGTCACATATGCTTCAGAACAATGTGTGAGCCAATATTAATACACATGCATGATATCATTGATTATAAATTGTTCAGTAAAGAAGTACAATGCATCATGTAGCTATAAAGATGAAAAAAAGCAACAAATTTTCATAGATAGAAATCTATATATATATGTAACACAGACTTCTTGGAGCAATTAAAAATATGGAACATTCTATTAAAAAATAACTAAACTCACTCTCTGCCTCTTGTGGTACCTGGTCTCTGTTTCCTGGCAACATTGTTCTCTCAGGGGGACAAAATTGATATTAAATACTAGTCCATGTCAAACAATCTAGCTCTATTTTTCTTTTTCTTTCTTTTTTTTTGTACAGTGGATTGAACTCGGCTCCTTGCGCTTGCAAGGCAGGCCACCGAACTGCTGAGCTAAATCTCCGGGCCAAGCTCTGTTTCTAAGAGAAGAGGTGAAACACAAAATTAAAAACTGTTCACAAAGCAATGGATAGGAAGTTTTTGTTAGTTTGTTTTTGCTTTTGCTATTTGTTACATGCGAAATGGATTTTCAAAAATGAATGATACAGTTTGTGGGTGGTCTGTTAAGTTACATATAAAGTATTCATCAGCCCATTAATCATATAGTTAATACTATAGCCTGAGTATCTGTGTCCTCCTAAAACTCATATTGAAAGTTTTTATCCTCAACATGATGATTTTAGAATTGAGGCCTTTGAGAAATGATCAGGCAATGAAGACAGAGCTATGCCAAAGAGAATAGTATCCTTATCCAAGACCACCAGAGGAGCTCATTCCCCTTTCCACCCCATATGGATAGAGAGACAGTGCCATCTCTGAATCAAGAAGTAAGCCTTTGCCAGACACAAGATCTATCAATGCTTTGGTCATGGACTTTCTTATCTCCATGAGAGTAAAAAATAAGTCTTCGTAAATAAGGAGGCACAAAGGGATTGGAGGGAGGACAGAGGAATGGGAAAGAAATAAGAACCAAGATATGTCATGTACAAACAGGTACAAATTCCCAGTGATGAGTGTCATCATATTATATACCTACAATGTACCAATATATTAATGAATTTTAAAACAGCTGGCATGTATATGATAGTTTGCTATAACAGCCCTAAGAAAGTAACAATGTATGTTAACATGTACTTATATCCACAGGATAATGATTTAAAGGACATATACTTATTTTCAAATACTCTAAGATTACATTTAGTAAGAATTTTAAAATAATAGCCAGCAAAATATGTTTCTTTCATACAAAGTTTTCACAAGTTAGCAGAAATTTCATTTTTTCACTTACAAATTCTTAATGAAATTTTAGGCCTGAAATACATCAGTGTATGGGAGTCTGAAATTTGTATGGTCCATCTACTCCAATTGTATAATTTGAAATACTCAGAAAAGATTTTCAAATGTAAATCAAAATTTTTTTTCACAGAATAAATTTATATTGACTATTCATTTTATGACATGCCTTAAATTTACACTGATAACATAAAGAACTTAACCATAAAAATTTCCATTGTATTTCTAGAAAGAATAATTTTGAAAACAATATTCCAGGGGGTGCAGAATGACCTACATTTAAGTATACACAGGTGATCCTTATCACCATCAGGAAAGATATGTTTTTCCAAATAAATGGTTCAGTATTACGAATTCTTCCATATAATATAATATAGTGTTATATTCAATTTTACTATCAAGAAACTCAGAGACAAATTTGTAGTTTTATCAGTGATATAGTATTTAAGGAATGTTAAGGAACATCTAATAAATTAATTGTGATTTAGTTTGCTATTTTTCACTGTCTCAATTTTTCAAATTTATTTATTTTAGTGTAATTTTCTATGCACCTTTCCAGAGGCTGACCCAATTCCTTCAGTAGATTTGCACATGATATAAAAAATAAATATATCCAATGACTTAGCTAGATTTTGCCTCAAAAACAATTCCTTTCTTTTATTGGGGGATGTGATTTAGCTCAGTAAAAGTGCCCTCAGTTTAATCTTCACTAGTGCAAAAAGCTGCATGCATACATAAATATAAATCACATGTAACATCTATAACAAATTAATAGCTCAATAAATATTAAGTTATATAAAAACAATGAATTGGTATCAAAAATTATATACAAGGTCTGCAAGGATAGATTTTCTTCCTTACAGATTTTGGCGATAAATAAGGATTTTGAAATTGGACACACTGTCACAAAGCACACTCAATTTTTCAATGTAAAAATTTTAAGAAATTTAACTTTTTAATTTACAAAATATTATATTAGATAACTTTACTTAAGGAACTAATTTAGTAAAGTAAAAAGAAAGGTTCTTTACTGAGTTTCTACTATGTTCAAATTTCTCTAAATATCTGTGTAGGTAATTAGTAACCCAATAGTTGTCTACAAAATGGAGTAGAGATGAAGGGAAAAGGTGTCACTTAGTGCTATAGTTCTTGACTAGCAGACAAGGAACACTGCATTCACTACCAAGCACCACAAAAACAACAACAACAAAGAAACAATTCAATCTCTTACAAACAAAATGATTGTTGTTCTGCATGTATGTGCATTTTGACTATGTGTGAATCGGGGACACCCGTTGCAGGCTTACTAGAGCTCTAAACTTCCTTTTCATGCTCCTCAAATAGTAAGCTGTTGCAGACATCATTTTTCTCATGAGGATGATAAAAATGCAAAATTGCAAACCCAGTTATACTACATGTATGGTACGTATGGTAAGCCTATGCTAAAAATGAATGATAGCATGTTATATCAGTATCTTTTACATATATTGTGTAAATGTATACAATCATTTTAATGCTTTTTTAACCACTTTTAATGGTGAAGAAAATTTTTTTTCAGAACATTTATACTTAATCTTATGCTAAATTCCTTAATCATTGGCAAAGTCCACTGATTATACAGGTGACAAGAATGTTTTGGTTTTGTCTGTTTGTTTTGAGATAGGGACTGTCTATGCAGGCTGGCCTTGAGGTCAGGGAGATCCTCCTACATCACCCTCTACAGAGTTGAGATTACAGGTGTTCATCACCATGCCACTTTTGAGATAAGTCAAAATAGAGAGTGATATTCTGCTTGCAATTACACAAATCATAAACCCAAGTGACAAAATATATGATAAACAAGGAATGGCAATCTGGGCTAATTTTCCAATTCCTTATCTGTTTGTCAGAGTTTGTCACATTTCTTCTGTGTACAAATACATCCACCCACTTCTCAAGAACCATCAAAGCTACCATCATGTTACTTCTTAAGTCCAGGAGCTCATAATCAGCACTCACTTGTGCAGGATGTCTTACATAATGTGTTAAACTATATAGTTTTACTCATCTACTCATTTTTCTTTCAATCTGAAAACAGGAAAGACAGGAAGTTTTATTTGAGTCTCAATATTCTAAGAAGTAGAATAGGCGCATATTCAATGATGTACGCTGAAGTATGCATCCAACAAAATGTGTTGGCTGATATACTAAATACATGTTAACATACATTTGTTGGTTTCCCAACAATATAGTGAATGGGTTGAATTACAGTCTGTAGATTTAAAAAAATTATCTGAGCCAATATAATTACAAAAGTTTTATTAGAATGGCAAAAAAATGGGGGCAAAAAAGAGAAACCTGTCACCTCACATGTTAGAAAATTTTATGTATTATATTTTATCATTGCTTTAGAAAATAAAAATAAATGGAAAACTATAGGAATAGAGCATATTTTAATTTAAATAAATAGATATACATATACATATATATATACATATGTGTGTGTGTGTGTGTGTGTGTGTGTGTGTGTGTGTGTGGATATATATTCAACAAAGGTTCCTTTATCCTGAGTAGAATGACCTGTTCCCAGAGAATAAATTTTAACAAATTTATCCTGCTAAGCAAATAGGCCCTGATATGTTTATACTTCCTGATTGGGTAGAAGCAAAATTAAATGAGGAATTAAATCATATAATTATGGCAAATATCCCAACAAGAACTTGTCCTTTAACAAATAGCACAGAAAGTATATTCCTAGGAGAAGGAATTCTGAGATCTTCTTAGAGACTGATGCAGCTTTTGTGTTCTTATCTGCTCTCTTCTGAAAATCTTTTGTGAACATACACAAATTATCTTTAATTTCTCTGATTATTCTCAGAA